ACATGGATCACCGTTTCAAACAGGCAATACGGTGTGGCTTTACAAGACCGACACCCCACTAGGGCAACCTAGTAAATTTCAAAATCCTTGATTGGGTGCGTTCTCCGTGGTCCAATATTTACCCGGCAGCATATACAGGATACGCGAGGCGAACAACCACAATACACTTCAGGTCTACTTCAGCAGACTGAAGGCGGGCCGTCCTCCCGAAACCCTCGACTCACCACTGTTAATCCCTAACGAAGACCTCCACATTGGCAACACTATCGAAATCCTTTCTTCCAACCACTGAGGACAGTGGCTTTTCAGAAGGGTAGGCTTTGTCGTATCCGCCATTAAGGTATACGTTTTAAACACCTCCATGACAATATTTTCATTGTCGTTTTTGTCCTTTTGGTCTGCCCCCTTATCAACGACATCGACGTTGATCCGTCTATTCTACCTCGCTACCGGGACAGTTTATCGTGTTCATTTTATACTATTTCTGAATAAACCCTTCGTATGACTCACCTGTTCTGCTTCCTTGAGTGTGCCGTGAACTTTCAGGGAGATCAAGCATTAAAGAACTAACACATCTCCACAGGTCTTCCGTTCGCCCGGGACATTACAATTAAAAAACCACTTGGGCGCTTTATGCATTTATCGCCGAAGGGTACAAGTTTATATCAACATTATCTCGCCCATCTACACCTGAGTGCTAATGAATCCAAATGAGTTGGAATTCCTCGCGGAAAATGAGTTGATACAAATTATTCCCAGGTTCAAAATGGAGGCTATTGATTTGATGGAACATTTCGTGAGTTGCTTAAGTGCACGTGTTGTTCTCATAAAGTTTTCGTCTCATCCTGTAACATTCGCCTTATTTATGATGGCTAGCTCCAAAATGCGACCTGTAATCACGTCATATGCTTGGACAGCCATTATATTTCGCTTCTAAAGTAAATTACTTTATCTTCTTCATTACCGGCAATGATGAGGGACTCATTTCAACTTGTTATCTCCTACGAATAGGGTTCCATTGTCCACCACGTACCTTGCTATGAAATTCCTAACCTTTTAGTCGTAGTCGTTATTCTTAATTCACTGGTTTATTAACTAGATTACAGACCTTATTTATCGAAGTTCTGTTCTGTAACTTGATGGGCGCCGTCCCTCTCCATCGGGAGCCGTGTATATATCGTACTCATGTCTATTCCGCTGTAAACCCACTTTGGAATTAGTTTTCAGAGGTTATGTTCCGCTTGGTAGTCCTTGTACTTTAATTAATATGTTCCTCACAGCCATACGTATTTTTTGCTGATTTTGGCTGAACGCTTTTAATTTTCCTTCCGCCATTTCACCTGACAGCCGAAGAACTGTTCTTTTTGTTTCCATTTCTTATGCAACCTTTTCTATTATTCCGAATCCTAGGTTGGTCCATTCCACCCGAACATTCCATGCGAAGTTCCTCTCTGGCTCGCCATTCATCTCCGGCGACAGCAGAAATGCCGGATCCTCCCACCCAATTGGTTATGTGTAACCAGTCTGACCGAATTTAAGGAGGCCGAAGAGTCTGAGTCAGGATGCACCAAACCACCACATCCCCATTATACCGAAGTGGCCACTTTGTTGCTTCAACATGCTCCTGATGACCTGCCCGAGTTCGTTTTATTCCTGAAGTTTATTTTGTTTATTTTAATTTTTTTACATGCTTTAGTCTTCGTATTTTTTGCCTTCTAGTCAGGAGGCAGTGCGAACACTCATCAAGGATCTGTGGGATGCACGCGTTGGCAAATTTGTCTCCTCAGTAAACCAGTTCATTAGCAGTGGAGCTGCTACTGCCCGAGTCAGTCAACTTACCTGCCTAGAACTGGCCACTGTGCGTAACATACTCGCAAATTCTCTTGATCAGCTAGCTATACTGCGTCAGAAGGTAGCGGAAACAAGTGCCGAAGTTCCTTCGCAGAGTCAGTCTTTGCTTGGTTCAACTGGCCTAACTGAATAAACACTTATTTTTATATGTGTACATATGCATGAATCCCTATTTTTATATAGTACTACATGAGATCATATTGTTTGGTTAACGTCTTATTGAGGATGTCATTTATCATATTCTCTGTCAGTACTGTGCTGGCATTAGCCTGTGGACTCTAGCATGATAGAACGTGAGGTCGTAGGGATCGTTTGGCACTGGTGAAGCTCCAGCAGCCATTATACCGGAGCGTCTGTGAGCATGCTCACAAAGTAACGTCTTTTAGTAAATAGCCCACCAGAGACGTCCCACAGGCCTTTTTAAACTGTGGCATAGTCGTGAAGGGCTTCATAAACCAGCTCACTGCGTATACGAAAAATGACAAAAGGTTTGACGAAAGACTGGACTTTCGGCGTGGTTGCGTTCTTTGCCGCCAGGTAATTACTTACGCATCCATGTATTAGTTATCAGTGTTCGGCTCTTTAATATTGACAAACCAAATCGATTTCCCGTGACTTCTTAAAGGTGGGATTGTGGATTTTCAGACACCTCTCTCTGGAAGTTCCTCATTTTCATAATTTATATTAATGAAGTTCTCTGACTGGTCCGTCTTTAACTAGCAAAAACTAGACCATCCTGCTGAGTTGCACTACCCTGCAGATTTCACGAATGACCATACCGCGCAATGCGGACACCTGAAAGAAGTAAACGATTAGTAACTATTATAGTCTGTAACTTGGTGTTTGACGCAAGGCGTAATATTAGCTATGAGTTTTCTTTAGTTTTGCGTATTCGTAAACCACCCAGTCTTGTGCATTTTATAAAGCAGGGGACCCGTGGACTAGAGGCAGCGTCTCTAACGCAATAAGCGAAGGTCCCGGGTTCAAATCTCGGGGGTGCCAACCC